GAAAGATCTGATATGTTATATAGTGTACATATTACTATTTTACTTGCAATTAGCTTGATACCTTTCTTATTGGACTAACAAAATATATAAAAGACAAGCTTTCGAGAGTGAACCTCTCTTCTTCAGAAGAAGACAGGTTCACTCTCGAAAGCTTGTCTTTTATATATTTTGTTAGTCCAATAAGAAAGGTATCATTGCACAATGCAATACTGCATTTTTGGCTTTTTTGACATCTTATATATATATATTGTATTAATAAATTGTTGAGTCTGTAAAGGGTGGTCGGATATTTTACACAGCATCACTTGTGTAAGGTACACAGGATACTTAGGAAATCTTTATATGCATATCTTAAATGATGTGTAAATACGCCCTGGCTTCAAGCTGGACAATGTAAGATACTGAAAATAAGTTCACTAAAGTCCACATGTAATAAAAACTCACAAGGAAATGCATTAATTACCAATTCTGTGCATTAGTAGACATGTAAAGGTTCAAAACATTTGTTTAGTTTCAGATCGATTCAAATTTTTCATTTGGATCAATTCGGATGATGTTCTTTTATTTAAAAATATTTTTTTTTGGGGGGGGGGGAGGTAATTTGAGTTCTGTAATAGTCCTCTTAGTTCGTACTGGTCATTTTAGTCCATACTGGTCATTTTACATGTAACCAGCCAAAAAAAAAAAGGTTTTCTTTTGATTTGGTTTTTCCCTTATTCATTTTGTGGGGTGTTAAACGTTTTCGGTTCAGAACCATTGGAGATCAACATAACATAACCTAAAATAACATGACATAAGTCAAGCATCTCAGACAGTGGGCAAAACCCATCGCTGGGTTAATGCACAGGCAACTGTGACATCCAGGGAGGGTGGTGGGAGAGTTGCCCAGGGAGGTAGATAGGTAGGGCAGGATTTCTCAGCAGCTTGGAAAAGCTTCAATGAACGCTAAAATATACAAACAACAACAAACACTTTTTTTTTCTTGTTTAAATTTTTTTGGAGTTCCTGGCAGCTTGGAAAAGCTTCAATTAACCCAAAAATACACACACTACAACTTGTTTTTCTTGTTTTTTTTATGGTTTAAATTTTTTTGGGAGTTTTGTATATATTTTACAATTTGCCCAAGGAGGGAGGGAAGTATGGCAGGATTTCTGGGTAGCTTGGAAACACTTCATTGCTCCCAAAACCTTTTTTTTTTGTTTTAATTTTTTGCGTTTTTAACTACATTCAGACGAAATTCGGAAAAAAATGTGGATTTGTTGGCATTCGGATGCATTCGAACTGGGAAATTCAGATGCATCTGAAATTTCGGATACGTTTAAAATTCGGATGTTTGAATGCTTCCAAAATTCAGACAAATTCAAATTCAGATACATCTGAATGTCCGGATTTAAAGAAGTTTGTCCGAATTTAAATTTGCATCGAAACGAAACTTACATGTCTATGTATTGGTAAAGCCACTAATCCTTTCTAAATCTATACTGCATCTATACTATTTAACAACTTATATCCAAATTGTCAATATGAGATCTCAGAACAACATTAAGAGCCCAGTCACACTGCAGTAACACGCAGCACCGCACAATACACGCCTTGGTGTGATGCTGTGCCATTCATTCTGATGGGGTGATAAAGGATCACACATACATGACTAGGTTGTCATTTTGTTATTAGCATTTTTAAAGCGTACCTAAACCCAAGAAAAATAATGTAACATATATTGCAGCTTACCACTCCATAGAGGAGGTGGCTAAAATAGTTTGTATTTTCAGGCTTTTTTTCCTTTATTTCACTGTATGATTGTCAGTAAAGCTGGCCATACACTGTGCTAACTTCAGCTGGTTCTTGATGAACCATCCAAAATTGAAGCAGCAGGTGCCCTTTTGGCACCCTTCCATTCGTCCATTCGGCATCCTTTGATCAGAAAATTGAAGGAACTGGATGGAAAAGTTTTAGGTGAACAGTCAATCAACTGCTGTCACTGTTGTAGTATTCTGACAGAGGCATGTCTGCCGCTATCAGAATAGAAAGGACACAGCAGTAGATTTATCACTTCCTGTCCTAGGTTGACAACACTCTCTCACTGTACTGTATCTATGCAGCACTGTTCCTAGGACATGATGCATGTTTAGACTATATAACGCCATCACCTCTCCCTATATTCATGATATAGGGGAAGGTGTTCTGTAGACCACAGAGCCAAATAGTAAAAAAATAACCATAAGAATCTGAATGTATAAAAAAAACAAACACTATCACACACGCAAACCCTAAAAATATGTGCTCACCAAAATTGGAGCAGACTAAATCTGGAGCAGCTGCCTATGTCAACCAATTACATCAGTTGCTTTAATTTCCATCATTTTTCATTTTCAAAGCTAAACTGAAAAACTGAAGGCAGAAGCTGATTGGTTACTATGGACAACTGCTCCAGATTCTGTCTACTCCTGTTTTTATGAATTTCCCCTATTATACATTTAGTTTAAACATCTGCATTAAAATGTCAGGCTATGTCAGAAAATGTACAAAAAGATAGATTTTTTAATCCACCTGGAATCAACAGTATGATTTATAATGAAGATAACGCACTGCCTAAAAAATATGACAGTACAGATCATTTCATTCATTCATAAAGCTTGACTCACCATAACAAATCTGATTTTAAGAAAAATGGACTCTCCAAATTCTCCCAGTGATGTTTACATTATTGCACTAGCGCTGTCATTACACAAAGCTAAAGACTTTCTTACATAGAGTATAAAATGTATATACAATTCAGATTTCTCTACAGTAAAAAATATTGCTGCCGAAAAAACCTTTTAGGATAACAGCGTTATTATTATTATTTACATTTTAATGTACGTGCATTTAAAAACTGGATAGTCTTAAATGATGTTAGAGCATATTAGCGCTGACATATTTATTTCGCTTTTTAATACGGTGAAATAGTGTTTTAGACTTTGGGCCTTATTTATAGCAGAGAGCGGAGGATAGCACTCTTTTCAGGACATCACAATGATTCCTCCACACTGTCTACGTTGTATGATGAATTCATCAAATGCAGCCAGCAGTGTGGTGTCTGTGGTGTCCTACAGACTGATCTCCATAATGCTGCAGAGAACACTCCAAGATAGGAGGAGAGCCCGGTCACATGACCTGCCAAAGTCATGTGCCAGGTTTCCTCCTCCTCCCAGGATTTGTGTGCTGCCACCTCTTTACCGTGCCGCACTAGGCACTGCTCAAAAGATTATATGGTATGGCACTGCAGAGAATCTTATGTCAAATACAACCCTGATGGTGAAAGTATTTAACCCCCTATGCTCCTTCAACTTCTGTACAGAAATGTAATACAGTTATGTGCTGTTTTAATGCTTTTATTGTATGTTATTTTATTATAAATAATGAAAATAAATAAAAGAATTCTAATATATCTAGATATATATAATTACATATAAACACATACACACAAACAGTGGCTAAAAAAAGACCAATGCCCATTGCACTATATAATCTAGAAGACCTGGTCAGAATATCTACCCCCGCAATACAAGTCTGTGTGGGGACTCTCGGTATGAGGGGTGCAGCTGTTACTCATCCATGCCAGCTTACAACACTGGAGAAGGAGACCAGAAAGCACAAATCCACTAAGAGAGAAAATGATCTATGGCAGACTAGACCTATGATTACAATAAGTGGTATGAGGCTTCGTCTGGGTTTTACATGTCAACATCAACATCACTTTTACAGTTATTTTTTCAATATCAATTGTAAATTCTGTTGGTAAAACTTTCTAATATCCTGTGACTGTTCTGAAATAGAAAATGTAGTCATGGTTACTTGTATAGCTATCCGTTTTTGTACATAAATACATGTATTGGTAACTTTGTAGCCATACCTCTAAACATCCACACAAATAAAGGACAGAAATCAGATAACGAAAGTATTCCTTCCTAAACCCCTTTATTATTTTAGAGTTATACCAGTTATGGTTCCCACATTTATTTTTAGTTTATTACAGACTAAAGTTATGTGGTTCATTTGGGGTCCTACAATACAGCTATGTTATACGGTCATAAATTGAAGGGAGGACTAGGTATTCCCTTAATAGCTAACTACTACAAAGTAGCACATATAGCTTCTCTTTCTCTGTTCCACACCCAAATAGAAACCATTGGGTGTTCTAATGGATATTGCAGGTTGTGGCCCTGTTGCACTCTTTACCACCAAACCATAGATCTTCAAATCTTAGCCCACTGCTAAAACATTCTCTGAGGGTATATGACTCTGGAATATATTCTGAAGGCCTGGCACCCCTCCCCCAGATCTTCTACCGATTAAAATATTCTGATGACCACTGTTTCCTCTTGCACTCATTTAACAGATTCCTTTGGTGGAAGCAAAAAGGGTTTTACAGATGTATTCTCTTATCTTTAATGGTATAGATTCCTTCCATTATTTACAGGAATTCTATGATACATCAACCATGGAAACCTTTCAACACCTACAACTATATCACTTTATATAATTCCTTCGAAAGAAACATGACAATAGTTTAGTTCCTATTAGATATGGAGGTACTACTACTCCTCTACACTTTTATATCATCTCACTGTTACAACCTTTCTACTTGGTGTAAATTATTATTTATCCTTGCACTATGGAAACGCTACTAATTACTGCATTTACATGCCATTGTACTCCTTTACTTTCAATAAAAAAACTACTAAACAAGAAAAAAAAAAGAATCACTGAACGATGAGAAATTATATTCACAGGGTGCAAGAGAATGACAGGGTGCAAGGAGAACGGTGGTGCTAAAGACAACATTTTTTTAAACTAAATGTGCCTCTTTACTTCTGCCATATGCCACTGGGACCATCCAATCACATTCTACCGGGAAAACGCAAGCAAGCTTGTGTTGCACACATTTATCATCGTCTAATCCAGCTAAAATATACATTACAATCGGTCTATTAAGCAATGAAGATGTAAAGGATTTAGTTTAGCATTTTCATAATTTCAGGCTGGAGACATAAAGAGTTTTTTTGTGAGAGTATGTTGGAGCAATAAGGAGCATCCGTTTTCCTTGCTGTACAGAATTCTGTTAAGTTCTGTGTGAAGCTCTTGAATATCCTGGTTTTTCCTGCATTCAAAACAAAACAAAAAAAACTTTATTAGCAACTTTTAACACAGATTTTATTTTTTTAAATGTAGCTGCTGCAGTTACCTGTGCAGTGTAATTTAACTGTATTTCTAAGCACAATAAAAAAAATTAAAAAAACAAAACACCTTTTCAGTCCTGGTACAGTGAAGGGATTATGTAGTTTACTCTCCCTTCATGCTCCTGTTCATAAAATACAAGATGTTCTGTGAATGGACCAGGGGAGATTCTGCCCTTTAACTGCACCTCCTCTCCCCTTGTCCATTCACAGAACTCCTTGTATTCCGTTTTCAGAAAAACACAATCCCTGCACTGTACGAGAGCCAGAACTATCAGTCCCATTGTGGGAGAAAAAAAAAACAGTGACTGTAGTATCTGTTATCAGTGAGGCTAGCATTTGTACAGTACCCAGCAGCAGAGGTAACACAATTCATTTTTTTCAAAGAATACAAGGCATTCTGTGATTGGAGAAGGAGAGTAGGGGGTGGGGATGCGACTAGAGCACTTCACTGCTCAAGTCGCTTCCCTCACTTCCCACAGTGCCTGGAAGCCAGGCGTTATGTTTAGGAGCTGGCATGCCGCAAGGTAACATTTTTATTGTATGCAGCAGCTCTCCACACTTAGGCCCCATTCACACACGAATCGGCCTGCACGTACAGCTCCGTGCGGGGCCGTACCAAGCAGCTGCCGGGAAGGACAGGTGCTACGTGTGATTAGTACGCAGCCTCCATGCTTCTCTATGGGGCTACGCGGCCGTACGCCCCCCTACGCTCACCTCAATTGCAGGTCCGTAGGGGTGCAGGTTTTCTGGCCAAGACGCATACAGGATACATTTCGGCGGCATATGAATACGCTCACCCGCACCCCTACGGATCTGCAATTGAGGTGAGCATAGGGGGCGTATGGCCGCGTAGCCCCATAGAGAAGGACAGGGGCTGCGTACTAATCACACGCAGCACCTGTCCTTCCCGGCAGCCGCTTGGTACGGCCCCGCATGCATCACGGAGCTGTACGTGGCGGCCGATTCGTGTGTGAGTGGCGCCTTAACATTTGACTTTTCAGTGATAACTTGCACACCGAGTTTGGTGTGTAAATTATCATTTTTCCCAGACTTTGGATTTAATTGTCATTTCAAGCGATTGGGTATTCTTTTCACCACATTCACTAAGGAAAGTGAAAATGCAATTTGCAAAGTAAACAGGCTTTACTCCCTTAGTAAACTAGGCAGTGTGACATTTCTGTCTAGACAGGATTATTCTCATAAGGTGCCTGCTTCTGGACCACAGAACAGCACTATACAAAAGTGTTAAACATTCGGATTGTCTCACCCTTTCCCTTACAAGTCTATAAGAAAGCAATACCTGCTTGAAGCAGGTCAAATGCAAGTCAGAAGGAGATCAACTGCAGGTCCAATGCACTTGTCAACAAATTCTGAATGATCTCGGAAACATTCTAAATTGATGTCATGACACAAGCCTATCAACAAAGACCCTAAAATGGTGTCATACTAGCAGCAGGAGGTACATGTTTTATGTAAACATTTGCTAACAAACATTTTGAATAGTACATATTTGGCCCGACAGTGGTATGCATTACCTTTTTTGCTTGTTACTTAATAAGTCGTTAAGTGTCTTCAGGTACAAAGAAGGGGCACCTGATAATCTCTGGAGCTGCCGTTCAGATGCTTTACAATGACTCCAAAATATGTCCGCTTCATTGGGCGTTTTTACAGAGCTTCGTCTTCTCTCTTGACCTGCTCCATTGCAGCTGGGACCGTCCGCCTCCACAGAGCCTCCATCATGCTGCACTTCACAATCCTCAGTGATATAGTTTTGTATAAAGAAGAGTTTTGGTTTTCCAACCAGGTTTGGACATGACTGCCCAGTAAAAAAACTCCTAACAGTTTCCAAAGGGAGACCATATGAGGATCCATCTATAAAAGAGAGTGAGTCTGCATTCCCCCGGCTGATTAGAATACATATGAAAATATCATACTGTTTGAGCTGTTCCATCTTAGCAACGTCTTGCATTATGTTTTTTGCATCTTGGACACTTTTATACATTTTAATGTTCAGGGTAAAACGTAGACCCAGAAATAAATGTTTAAGCATTTCTGTCGAAAAAGAAAAAAACAATATTAACATCTAATAAAACAACTAGAAAGATAAATCACCATCTCTATCCTTTGTCACCACGTTTTACCTCTGACCAGAACTGCAGTAATAAAAATTCTCCTGCAGCAGTACTGTTAGGATTTTTCAGTGAGTCAGTGCAAATACTAACAATTATATGGAAAATCAGTTAAAGCTGAACGCTGGAAATTAAAAAAATGTTTTTACCCTTTCAGTGGGTCCCCCCTCCACACTGCAATGGTTAACTGCTTGGTTTGCCTAGGGGGTGATGAATAAGGTGATATACTTATCTTATAGCTTGCTCCTACAGCTTCCGACAAAGTGCATCATTAGTCCCCAAACCCTTTGCTGCCCGAACGGTTGCAGCTGTTTGGAGTCACCCAGTACCATGCAGAAGCAGCAGTCCTGCATTGCACATGAGGACGCTGAGAGCCCACCCATGATGTCGAACATCAATGGGCAGAATAATAAGGTAAGTATATCACCTTATTCATCATTCCCTGGACAAAACACATAGTTAACCCTTGCAGTATGGAAAGACTCCTACTGCAAAGATAAAGTTTTATATTCCTCTGAGTTGAGCTTGAAGAAAAAAAAGTTTATATTTTTGTATTGCACACATAAGAACAAATGCAGAGAAAAATGGTAAAATGATACATGGTTTTGGATTTTTTTTCTGGGTAACAGATCATGTGGGTTTTTTAAATAAGGCAAACTGCTGTAACCCATAGCAACTCATTGCTTTTCATTGACTACATTAAATAGAAATATAATTGGTTGCTATGGTTTACTGTCATTTGCACAGCCATTCTAAAGGACTGTGAAGGTTCTTATTTATATAGGTCATGGTATAGATAGAAGTAGTTTGTCACATTCAACTGGACGTATGTTGGAGACAGATAACGTTGAAGGTCCCCACCCTTGTACAAACACCTGTTGCTATAGTTTGGCTTTAAGCTGAATACGCAGTGTAAAAGCTTTGTTTACTACCTTAGTAGCCAGAGCTGTTCAGTGAAAAAAAAAAACTCTGCTTAACCTCTTGCCACTGGCTCCAGACAGTACTTTAAGGGGTTCTTAATGGAGGTTTCCTTTCCACTGTGATTGGGTGCCACAGTGGTCATAAGCGGGAGCTGCTCCCACCAGCCGCTGATTGTAAACTGTGATCTGGAGCTGTCAGTGACAACTTGGCTGCTGTGCTTGGAGTGCACCAGTGAGTGCATTGTCAGCACACAACAGCAGATCTGGCTGACATATATATGTGGTGAATGATCGTTAAAAGCCCACCAGCTACATACATACTTAATGTTCCTTTTGTAGCTTTATGATTTAGCAAAAACCACATTATTTAAATTGCTTATATGAACAAAAGAGATTACATTTTTAATCAATACAATAATTAAAACTGAATGAATCTGTTATAAAATATGAAATTTTATTACAACGTAAACTCCATAAGACATTAAAATAAAACATCCCTACAAGAACTAGATCAATACATTATTAGTTCAAATCAATTACCTGAGTCATTTCCGACACAGTCAATGATCAGGCAGTAGCCCATTGAATTAGGTCTCACAGGATACCTATCATTGCTCGACTCTACCTGTGGAAAACAATATTCAGGTCACATTAATATAGAATTTCAATTATTACTTAGCAGCCTTTTCAACTGACAAACACAAGTCAAAGAACTAGAATCTATATCAGTATGTCACAGATGAATACAACTGTTAAACTGACATTTAGGAGTTGCAGTAAACAAATCCAGTATGCAAATTAATGTAGACCTTTTTATTGCATTTATTTATTTTAAAATTTAGATCTTCTTAAATCTACCAGTCCTGTTACAGTTGGAAGTGCAGATGCTTTAGCTAATCTACTTTTACCTGCAATTGAGAAGCCTTTGAAGTAGCAGGAACATATTTCAACTGGACTGCCTATATCAAAAGAAGCAAAAAAAAACTGGTCAAATGCAGCCTCAGATGATCATCTACGGTACACAAAATAAACTGAAATCTGCAGACGTGTGATTAAATCATTCTTCAAATGCTGGAAAAACAGATCCCATCTACACAAGTCCTTAAAAACTAGTTCACATAAATTCTTGGCGTGAATACACTTGTCACGGGTGTCCATACCAGACATATTTTTGGCACTTCCTAAAAGAGGTTATATGTGTGTTTGGGCCTGCTTTGTTTGAGTGATCTACTGAAAAGAACTGGCGGCAAAGCTTCGATGGCTTTTCAAAGAGGAATTCCAGGCAAAACCTTTTTGGGGGGTTAAAGTGGGAAAGTTCCTATTACTTCCTTAGTTAGTGACACCAGGAAGACAAGAAGCAGGAGTGAATCTCCTACAGAGGAACACAGTTATTGAAAGGCCGACAGAGGTTTTAGACCTTCCTAAGTTAATAAAAAAATATATTAATAAAATATTCTCATCATTGTAAAAACTAGATGTCCAGGTCAGTTAGTTTTGACCAGAGGTCTACTGTAATAGCTAGTAGGCTGCGACTAGGTTTTATTTAACATGTTTAATATTATTACCATTACATGTAACTTTACAATAAATTTTTAACTTTTATATTTATCAGCACCACATATTTCAGAACAGGCAGTTAAAATATATTCAATGTCAATATATGTAACACAAAATATTACATATTAAAAGAGAGTGATATGTACCAAAATCTAACCAATTAAACTATGCATTAGAAGTGAATGTTTACTCAGTGCACAGTTGTAACTCAGTTCAGTGCTACGTCAGCCATGAGAAATGAAACTTGGAGCATGTGAGTGAAATGAAACAGGGAATGGGAAAGTCCCTCATTTGTAAAGCCTAAACAGGATAAAGTTCCGGAATGATATAGTATCATATGACTGGAATTAAGAGAATCTAAAGCTAAGCACATAACCAAAGCCTAGGAGCCTAGGTATAAAATATTTCTCTTTTTTTATGTTCAGTGGTTTGAAAAAAAGATACAGACAGTGGTGGGTACTGCATGTAAACTTTGTGGGTACTGCATATAACAAATGAGTTTCCATTTCGTGTAAAGCTTACATTTCAAAGTTACTTGTCATCCACACATATTAAGAATGAAAGCAAAAGTGGCCTGAAAAATGTACATATTAATTTTTTTTTTTTTTTTAAACTGAATAAAAGAGCGCAAATAAGTTGAGAACACTGACCTTTATGAAATTATTTGTGAATACTCATATATATATATTCAAACATTAACCCCTTTCTGGATGTGGAATGTAGAATAATAAAATAAAACCTTGTTATCCCACTAGTGATCATTCCCACAACCCAGAGGGGAGATATGTTCTATTCAATACTGTCCACTTATGAACCGAGTTGTTTTATAGGTATACGAAAGGAATTTATTTACAAATGTACATATCAAAAACCAACAAAATCATCCATAAAAACATCTAGAAGACAACAAACTGCAGGGCCCTGCATAAATCAGTGCACAGTAACAATAATGTAATTGCTACAAAAAGTATCAAGCTAAAAGCAAGGAGATTTGTTGCACCTTCTCTTAGTCATAGCCTTAGCAGTTATGAATGTATGGCCTTTGACCTTTTGAGTATAATAAAATTACCGAAAACATTCACACAACCACATCAGAGCTATAAATCACAAAAAAACTATTACCAGAAGCAGCTTTGAGCGTTTATACATTTAGGGCAATAAAGATCCTCGATAGAAATATTCTTAAAGTGATACTTAACTCAAGAGTTAAATCTTAGAAAATGCATTCAAGTACCCCATCTATTAATAAAATTTATCTTATTTGTACATCACTCATGATGTACAGAGATGATTTGAGGATCTACAGCTGAGTGATACACAAATAAGATACATATATTCTTTATTTAAAGATTTTTCAATACAATAGAAAAACAGACAAGAAAAAAAAGACACTAAAAAACAATATGGAATTATTCCAATATGACAAGCATCTGTAACCAATACAGAGTAACATCGAATCACAAAAGTGAAACAAAAGTCTCCCCCTACTAAGTTCAATTTAAGAAAACTCCCAAATAACCATACAAATATAGTAAACATAAGGGGGATCCTGTAAAACTTTCAGGAACCTAGGGCCAGTCTACAAAGTTTCCCAAAAGGATACCTAAATGACTGGTTCCCCGACCTTGAGGTGTAGAACCGGAAAAATTGGTCCTAGGAAGCATAGCCTGGGGAGCATAACGAAAGGACTTCCAAGACAGCCGGGGATAAACATAATGCAAACGACCTTCTACGAAAGCAGCTGGTGGGAGAAGAAAATGGAAAATGAAAGAAAAAGCAGACACAGTTGAGAAGGAAAAGACAGGGCCAAGAAAGTAGCAATGACGAACAACATTCCCCCCCGGGAGGAGGAGTATTCCGATGTGAGGGTAACGTCGTCCAATAGAACCATATCCTGCAGTGCTTGTCACGTAAACCCCTACTAGACAAGACCAGGCCCTCCATTCGCTCCACCTCTCCAACTCCATGGAGTCACATGGACACCGTTGGGGCCCTGTCCGTCCTCCACAGCTCAGTGACACAACACATGGCTGCATTTAGAAGATGCAGAGGAATTGAATGCATTTTTAAGATTTAACTCCTGCGTGTCACTTTGAATTGCTAAGAGCATAATAAAAAGCTTGTGTAAAATTTGAACACCTGTGGAACACCATTGACTTAGGGTATCACTTAGTAAATATAAGATCATTAAAAAATGACATGAAAATTAGTAGCCAGTATATGATACCTGTATGTGTGGACTTGTTTCCTGTACTGGCATTGATTCTAGAAATAACAAGAGAGATATAATTATAGCATTGGATTTAACTAAGCCTTTTATGTTTGTCATTTCAATGTAGCTTTTGGAATCATTGAGTGACAGTGAACATAAGTATTCCCCCCTTGGACTTTTTACAGTGTTCCCATCTGAAATTAAAAAGCTTGGAGTTGAGGTTTTATATCAATGAAAAGTCCATGATGTTGAGGTGGAACAAAATAATATGCAATTTAGTTAAAATAAAAGCAGCTTGAGTGAGGATTCACCTCCTTTAAGAATAAATACACCAGGATTCTGAAGACAAAGAAGCTATCAAAAACATGTACAGGATAACAATCTGGAGAAACACCAATCATGCTTATGTTGTACATACACCCCAAACCATAATCATTCCCCAGACCACCATTTAATCCTTTATTAACCAGATCAGCTCTAACACCTGTATGTTCCTTATGAACCAGAGCAAATTTTATTAACAATGTATGTCGTTTGGTAAGGTTGCGTTAACTGACATCATATAGAGATCAAAGATCAGCCTTTTTTTTTTTTTTTGATTTGCACATAAATGAACCAGAGTAAATACAATGTAAAAATAATGTTATGTTCCTCAAATAATCTTCTGGACACCGCTTCACAGTAGTGGCTGTTCAAAACAGCAAAGTATGTCCTCGTTGTCATTTTGACAGCTGGGATTTGCCAGCAATAGCAGCCTAGGAGCAGTGAAAAGGGAAGAGAAGCCAAGTCTACGGCATATGCCAAAGGGACTTTGTTAATGGATTTTAGAGCATATGCTGTACACTGTGATTCTGTGTACACTGTGATTCTTCAACTGGTTAAATATTATTACCATTAACTGCTTAAAGGAGAACCCCATAGTTCTCCTTTAAGCATGCTGAAGCCCATGGAATTACTTGCAAGTATTGAGAGCATGTAAGTTTCTTCCCAGGATTTGGTGCTTGGGCTTTACTGGCCAATGGTCAGGCCTAAACACTAACAAATTGTGTAATGGAGAAGATTATTAAATAAAACCAAAAAAGAGATGGAGGACTCACAGACCTTGTGTATCTTAAAAGATGCATTTATTATTATAAAGCCAATATTGCACTCAGAATATTGACAGGAAGTTACACTTTAAGATTAGCCTCCAGGTCTAGCAACATTAACCCATTGACTGTGGCCAATGGCACGCGGGGAATCTGATCTTCCAGCTGTCTGTAAACCTTGGCAGCAATGAAGGCACCCATGCACTCATGTAAATGAACAGTGTCCTACATAGATCAGAAGCTCCTCAGGTAGGAGGATGCTTTCTACTTCTGGGTCCCGTCTCTATGGAACCACATTACATCCTTATACACTTCCTTACACTTTTGAATTGATGTGAACTCTAGTAAGACTGTTCTTATTTGACATCACACCACTGGGCACTGTGGACTATTTTAGGCTTTTTATATTAGTTATATTCTAGAGAAGGTAAATAAGCCTGTGTATGCATTGTGGCAGGGGAACACAGGGGAGGTATTAGTGGATGGGGAAAGGGAGGGGGTGGGGGG